TGATAGACATTGGGTAGGGTATGTGCTATGGTGAGCGCTGTGAATTGTGTAAGACTGTTGAATCACAGACCTGTACCTCTGAAACAAATCATATATTATATATTAAAATAAGAAGAAGATAGTAGGAAGGGAAAAATGAAGGGGGAGAATTCGGAGGGGGAGACGAACCATGAGAGAATATGGACTCTGAGAAACAATCTGAGGGTTCTAGAGGGGAGGGGGTGGGGGATGTGTTAGCCTGGTGATGGGTATTAAAGAGGGCATGTATTGAATGGAGCACTGGGTGTTATACGCAAACAATGAATCATGGTACACTACATCAAAAACTAATGATGTAATTTACGGTGATTAACATAACATAATAAAAAAAAAGGGCCAAAAATCTTGACATCTTACCAAAGAACATATGTAGATGGCAAATAAACATGTTCTACAAACATATGTCCTCAGAAAAATGTAACAATGTGATTCCATTATGCACCTATTAGAATAGCCAACATTTGGAACACTGACAACCCCAAATGCTGCAGGATATGGAGCAGCAGTAAGTCTCAATCACTGCTGGTAGGAATGCAAAATGGTAGAGCCACTTTAGAAAGTATGGAGGTTTCTTACAAAACTGAACATACTCTTACTGTATGATCCAGTAATCAGTATCCTCGATATTTATCCAAAGAAATTGAAAACTCGTGGTGCCTAGGTAGCTCAGTCAGTTAAGTGTCTGTCTTGGGCTTAGGTCATGATCTCAGGGTCCTGGGTTCGAGCCCCACATCGGGCTCTCTGCTCAGCAGGGAGCCAGCTTCTCCCTCTGCCCCTCTCCTCCCCCCTGCTTATACTGTCTGTCTCTCTCAAATAAACAAAATCTTTAAAAAAAAAGAAGTTGAAAATGTTGTACTAAGGAAGTCATGTTTCTTTCACTATGTGGCAATAATTTTCAGAAAAATTTTAGCAGAAGGGTAAAAAGATTTAGATTCTTCTCTTTGCTTTGCCTCTTCGTGAGAAGTGGTACACATTTAGTATGTCTAGTATGGGTGTAGTATGAAACTCCAGAGGAGAGAATTAGGACCAACAGGTCGAAATTGTATGGAGTTAGATTTGACTCAATAATCAGGTGAATGCCCTTTCATTTTTTTTTTAAAGATTTTATTTATTTATTTGAGAGAGAGAGAGAGAAAGTGCATATGCACACTAGTTGGGTGAGGGGCAGAGGGAGAGGGAGAAGCAGGCTTCCTGCTGAGCAGGGAGCCTGACCCTGGGACTCAATCCCAAGACCCTGAGATCATGACCTGAGCTGAAGACAGATGCTTACCAGAACCCAGAGAATCTCTAACACTTTGGCTTATTTCCTTCTAGTCTTTTCCCTTCAAAGAAGTAGCCAATTAAGACTTTTTAGAACCCCTGAAAAGGGGATTAGAATCACTGATAAGCTTATACTGCAACCCTTCCCCTAAACCATATAACTCAAAATTTATATGCATTTAAAAACCAAAATACCTTATTTTTTTTAGATTTTTCTTCTTCCAAAATTTTAGGTATTTGTTAGTTATCTTATGTTTTTCATGCCTCAGCTGAGCTGGTGCTCTCAGCAGGTAGGTGTTCAGTTTTCCCATTAGGGACCCAGGTTCGAGGGCTGGGTCGTGTAGTTGTGAATGGAGATGTTCAGAGTGAGGGCACTGTCCGGGAGATTCCTACCATGGGACTGACCTCTAAATGCCTGTATGCCTGTATTAGTTTGCTGGAGCTGCTGTAACAAAGTACCACAACCTGAATGACTTAAACCACAGAAATTTATTGTCTCACAGTTCTTGAGGCAAGAAATCAAGGTGTCAGCAGGGTTGGTTCCTACTAGGAGCAACGAGGGAGGGAATCTGGTCCAGGCCTCCTCCTTGGCTTGCAGATGACTGTCTTCATCCCACATGGAGTTCTCCCTGTATGTGTGTGTGTGTCCAAATCTCTCCCCCCACCTTTTTTTTTTTTTTTTTTAAAGATTTTATTTATTTATTTGTCAGAGAGAGAGAGAGAAAGAGAGCACAAGCAGGGGGAGAAGCAGGCTCCCCGCTGAGCAAGGAGCCTGATGCGGGGCTTAATCTCAGGACTCTGGGATCATGTCCTGAGCTGAAGGCAGGTGCTTAACCGACTGAGTCACCCAGGCATTCCTCACTTCCCCCTTTTTAAAGAAGCTTTATGCCCAGTGTGGGACTTGAACTCATGATCCTGAGATTAAGAGTCATGTGCTCTGCCAACTGAGCCAGCCAGGTGCCCCCAAATCTCCCCTATTTATTTACTTGAGAGAGAGAGAGAGAGTGTGCTAGAGCACAAGCAGGGGCGGGGCACAGGGAGAGGGAGAGGGGAAGCCAACTCCCTACTGAACGTGGAGCCCCATACGGGGCTCAATCTCCTGACCCAGAGATCATGACCTGAGCTGAAACCAAGAGTCAGACGCTTAACTGACTGAGTCACCCCTGCACCTCTTCCCCTTTTTATAAGGACACCAGTCATATTGGATTATTTGCCCACCCTACTCCAGTATGACTTCATCTTAACTTAAACAATTGCATCTGCAATGACCCTATTTCCAAATAAAGTCACATTCTAATGTACCGGGGCTCAGAACATCAACATATAAATTTTTGCGGGGGAGGACACAATTCAACCCATACATAACAGCTTCCTTCCAGCTCTAAAGACTATTATTTTGAGCTTTAAAGTACGACTCAAACTCAGTGTGTTGCTTTGTTTTGTTTTGGCTTTTTGCTATTGTTTGTTCACTTGCCCAGTGGGGTGTTCACTTAATGCCAGGTAAAACCGAATCCACAAGGCATAGCTGACCACCCTGCTGAGGCTGATTGAGAGCTCAGGCAAACCTGTGAATCAGGCTGGGCATCCATAACCAGGGCCACTAATAGTAACAACATAAACACTCTGAGTTCATAATCTTTTCTGAGGTCATTCTGAACTCTAAATAAATTCTGTCTGTTGGTCCTAGGGTCTAAATGCCTTTTGACTCCCTCAAAGAACTCAGCTCAATCAGTGAATGTGCTTTCTTCCTGACTCCATGTGTCATTTGGCATGATTTATAGAAAAAATGTAATTTTATTGTAGGACTTGGACTTTCAGAAGTGTGTGGCATTCAATCTGGCATACGTGGAGACTTTATCAAGCTATAACGAAATGACTATTGATAATGTGACCATGAAATTCGTTATTATTGTGTATGGTAGTGTCATTGATACTAAGACAGAGGTACCATATCTTGCACCTTGCATTTTGCCTAAAACCTGTGAGCAGGTAAGGACAGTTATTTCTACGGAGTCATTTGCTTTCCACGGTGCCCCATAAATGACTTGAAAACTCAACTGACCACCTTAAAAAGAAATGTAACCTGGAAGGACCCTTTAACAAAACAGTCCAAACATGCCCAGGGCTTCTGTACCATTAAGCAGTCTGTGCCCAACACAGGAGTGTGACCCAGGGGGCACAGGAGGCTGGAGTCTGACTGTTCTCTGCTTGCCAAGCCATTTGCCCTGGAGTGGGGCTGTGCCTCCTGAGGGATGGGGGTGCATTTGTCCCTCTTGTAGCATTCTTATCTTTGTATCTCAGTAATTCAGAGGATGACGGTAATCTAGATGCTTTTCCAGTAGAAAATGAAAATCTCTTTAGCTTTGCAGCTAGGGGTGGGAGTGAGGCAGGGAATAGCAGGAACAATGCTCACAGATTGGTTTAGGAAACCAAGGTTTGGAATCAGGCCTACTTGGGTTTCAAGCCCAAGCCCTGTGCCCACTAGTGTGTGAGCAAAGGCAAGCTGTCTTCTGACCCTCTGTTTCCCTTTAGTGAGACGAGGCTGACAGCAGCTGCCCATCTGATAAGGTTCTTGTGAGCATCCAGGGAGACAGTATGTGGTCTCTAGAGATGAGAGTTATAATTATATCACTTGTACGCTCCTTGCCTTCCGGGAGGGCAGATTTGGCGGGCACACAGGGCAAAACTCTAAGGAAAGAAGACAGTCCTGCCACCTGGGAAGGCTGGGCCCTGAGCCTTTGAACATCAGCGTTGGGGTACAAGTAACTCCGTAGGTGTTGGGGATTCCCTGTTTTCCAAGCTGGGAATGTCTGGTCTGGTTGTAAGTAAGGTGTAGAGAGTTCCTTTCTGATGTCTGTAAATAATGCAGAAGATAATTTTCTGGTCCAAGACTTCTTGAAACAACATTAAAGGGGATTTTCAATGAAAAAGATGGAGAGCTTAGACTGGAAGCCCAGTTCTGGGTTTTGGCTTATTTCTTATATTCTTTGAAAACGTTAGGGAGGAGGCAGCTTAGAGATAAAAGGATGCTCTTCTGACTACTTTTGACTTTTTCCCTTTAGGTTCAGGGAACTTCAGATTTAAGCAAGCTGCTGGTTGTGCAAGCATCTGAGCCTGCCAAAAATACTGATGACGCCAAAGTCATGGGTAAGGGGTAGCCCGTTAGTGATAGGAAAATCATGCAAAACTCATTTAATTCTAAGAAAATTACTTGAGGGTATTTTGTGGGTTTATCATCAGTCCCCATCCTTGGGCCCACCCTGGCTGCCATATTGCTTCAGGGAGGTCATCTATCAGAGTCTTCCAGACACTGAAATCCAGGTGACTCCTTTCTCTCTCTTGTCCCTTCCTTCACACTCGTGCTGGTAGAGAGTAGCTTCTGTGTTGTACCCTGTTCCAGTCCTGGCAGGCTGGACTCACAGAGTGCTGTTGGGGGCAGAGCAAGAACGGGAAGGACAGAGACTCTCTCACAGAGGGTCCAGGTGTGGCGAGCTGATGTGCTCCCAACAACCAAAGGGAATATGGAACCTGACCCTTGCTCTCTGAATATTCCAAATCACAGTCACAGCCACAACTCAACTGTCTAGCCTGAGGGGCACTTTGATAGTTACTAAGTAATTACAGTCACTAAATGTGTATGAGTGCCCCATTGCATGTATCATGGTGCGAAGCAGTACACCAAGAAGATGAGGTAGGAAGGCCTTGCTCTAGAGAAAATGCATTCCCTTCCTTCATTTCATGCTCAGTGCTCCTGCTCTACCAAGCTGTGTTGTCATCTCCCCAACTGCCCCAGCTTGAATACAGTCAGCCTCAGTGTGCTTCTCCAGTTGGCACCCTCCTGGTGTTTCCAATTCACGTGATCAGCCAGCTTAGATGTCATGCAATTCTTCATGAATTGTTAATTTGGCGGGGGGTTGGGTTTGCATGATTTCAAATTGTGTGCAGAAAGTGACATTTTATTCATATTTTATATCTCATTTCTCATTTGCACAATTCTTATAAAATACAGCCCCACTGTGTGCTGGGGCTCCATGCCCAGTGCTAGATGGGGAGGAAGCCAGACAAGGTCTCTGCCCTTATGAGGAGAAAAGACATTCAATAAGTAATTCTACTTCTCTCTCAGAAGTAAATTCAACCTCAGACGTTGTTGTGGCTTACTTTCTACCTCTGTTCTGGGGTCATGGGCACCACCTGATTTTGGGGAGCCCCCTCTGCTCCAGGTCTTCTGTTCAAGCTGGTGAACACTGAAATAATCCTTACTCCAGCCCTCAGAGTCTTCAGTCCGCCTCTCTGCAGTTTCCATAGTTCTCTTGGGGCACCGGGATCTATGGCAGGGCTTGGAGCTCAGGGCCTAGTGTGAACCCCCTCGGGGTACCCTGAGGGCTGCTGAGTCAGGATCTTAGTACTGCCAGGAAGCAGGGCACAGGTCCCCATTTGTCCTGGGCCTGTAGGCCTCTCTCTTTCTTCAGGCTCTCTGCAATCGGTCATTTTAGACGGATGGTACTCTATCACTCTGTATTCCCCAGTGAATTTGGGACAAAAGTCACACATCATAGGCTCATGGACTGGATTCCTGGTGCACTGGATTTGATCCACATACATGTTTTGTTTTAAAAATTTAAGTTGCAGAGTATGAACATCTAAATATTTCACATTTAAAAAAAATCCAGATTTTGAGCTTTTCTTGAAAAACTCAGAAAGCGTGCCAACACTTGGTCCTCGTTCCTGTATGTGGCAACACGTAGAGCTGAGCCTGGGGGAAGCACATGGTTTGCAGTTTGCCACAGTCCACACCCTGCCCTCTTGTCTCAGATACGGCCCACTTCCTTGTCTGTGTGACCTGCCTGTTCTCATTTGACTGTCAGCCCTTGCATGGGATTCTTGGGAGCCTAACAATGGGAAACTAAAGAACCCATATGGAAGGGGAGAAGGGAAAGAGGAGACCTACTGGGAGAAAGCAAATTGATATTTCAGAATATTCTTCTACTACCTTTACTCTCAAATTCCTAATTTAGTTTTTCTGTCTGATGCATGTATTTGATTGCCTCAGTCAACCCTGGTCTTCGAATGACCCAGAGAGAATATAATTGGAAGAGAAAAAATGAGGTAATAAACCTGACATTTGGATTCGATTTTTCTTACTGTGACTATTAAACTACATAGCTGGAATGAGCTGCAAAGCTGAGTAGCAAAATGTAGGTGGTTGGGTGGTGAGAAAAGAGACCCTTAGTGGCAGCTCACTGATTCGAAAAAATTGGGATAAACCTCACCTGAATTATTTAACAATTAAAATGATACAATGTTTTTGAAAGATGTGATTTTTCCCCAGGTCCCCCATCCCAATTTCCCACCTCTTGACCTCCTTCCCATGATGGCTCAATAGTGGGGCTCTACAGGGCACGTTAAGGATGCGGAGGGTCAGGTCACCTGCAGGATTAGACATTAGCATCTAAATGCCTGTGCCTCTCCATTTGGAGTGTGCATTCCCTGAGGATTTGTGGGTGGTGTGCCCGGGGTATGTGGAGCCATAGGTGGATCCAGGGAATCTTCCTAGAGTATCACATTTTTTTTAAATTAACATATAATGTATTATCTGTTTCAGGGGTACAGGTCTGTGATTCATCAGACTTACACAATTCACAGCACTCACCATGGCACATACCCTCCCCAATGTCCATCACCCAGCCACTTTTACTTGATGTTCTTTTAAAAGGAGGAAACTCATTTAACCATTAGGTTATTTGAAATGTTCTATATTAAAACAAGCATATTATGGAGTAGGGTGACAAATTTGCATGAATTTTTAAGATAAACCAGGAGACGTCAAACCATTTTATTATGGAGAGTCACAGAAATTTTGCCCTGACATCTTTTCCTGCTTTCTTCAGCAATCAGGGCCAAATTTGGAAAAGCTTGAGAAGTGCTGGGCAGCATGTGTAGAGTGGGAGAGGGGAGGGCTGGTCCCATGGAGCCAGGACAGAGTGGAGGTAAGTCTGGGGAGTGGGGAACCTACAAGGCTATTATTACTCAAGGGGTCCCTAACAGAGCTTATTTGGGCCCGAGTCCACAGCTGAGTGGAGGAGACCACTCTGACAGGGCAATAGTGAGCTAGGCGAACACACAGGTGGACGAGGGAACAGTACATGGTTCCAGGATGGGCTTCAGGGCCCTTCAGCACTCTCTCCCAGTTGCGAAGTCAACCCAAATAAACATGCTTCCCAAGGGAAAATGACGTGCCATCTAAGTGCAGTTTCAGGACAAGTCCCGTGGCCTACCACAGCCCTAACCAGAGAGTCACACTAAGATCATTTTGGTAGAAATTCTGGGCCTGCCCGGTCATCTGTGATAGTCAGGGTGGTGTACAGAGTTTGTTGGGGGAAGGAAAAGTCACATTGACCAAACGTATGATTTATGGTTCCTTTAAAGAAAGCAGCTTAGTTCTTTTTAGGCAGGCTTCCTAGGGTCATCCTCCCCTCTTTCTTAAAAGGACCCTGTTTCACAAATGGGAAACCTAATTGGGAGTCAAGTAATTTAACTGACTCCTCATTGTCACCATCTTTTCCAGACCCCATTATTTAAAAAAAAAAAAAAAAAAAAACTCATTTTTTAGGAAAGAGGTTTCCAGTTATCCTGGAATCGGTCACAAAGTTAACCGGAATTCAACTTACCTGACGTCTCTTTTCCTGAGGTGCCCCTTTGTCGGAATGCTCTTGCTGAATTAACGCAGTATGTCTTCACAAGAGGATGTTTGATGGCATAGAAATGCACATGTATCTCTCAAAGCCCTTAATATAGAAGATTTTTTAGAGGGAATGTTCTGGATGATAAAATAGAAACTTCTCAGTAACTTTTCTGATTGCATTTAATAGTTAATGTTTCTCCTGAAACGCTCGTCTAATATTTTGCTTTTGACTTTCTTGTATAGTTGGAAAGTGTATCCCATTTTAGGAAAGAATACTAATGGTGCTAATGTGATATGCGGAGTCAGGTTAAAGACTAAGCTAACCTCCTGGCCCAAGTGCCAAACGATTACCTGGCAAGGAGGTTACTTAGAAGTTGCTGGAACAGTGAACTGCTATATTTATTTCACAAGTGATGGACTGCTGTAAAAGTTCTACTTTTAAGCAGTTGCGTTATTACTTGAGATGTTTAGAAATTTGTCAGGATAATAAAACAATTCATGGCCTACCAATGAGAGTAAAAGTTATCAAGAGCATTGTACAATTAATATATTACTGACTGAAGCATATGACCCATAATTTGATATGTTGTTAGTGCCTCCCTAACATTTTCCAGAGAAAAGTTATTCCCTCCCTCCCCAATTTAGTAGATGTTGAAAAATGGAACTATGTTCGCCATCTTAGTTACTGAAAGCAAAGTTTAGGAGAAATTAACAATCTTACATTGCATAATACTGTTTGGTATCACTTTTCAATTTCTTTTTAAAAGTCAAATAAAGTTTAGTTTTATGGCCTGGTTGTTTATTATTTGGAATCCATCATCTTTTTTCATTTCAACAAGATTTTGAAAGGATATTTGGTTCTCTGCTTTAGGGAAAACCAGAGTAGCGGTAAGAATAGAAGAAAAGGTGAGAGAAAAAAGTCAGTCCTAACTATTAGAACCTTCTGGGCACCTAGCATAATAGGGCAGTATTTCAGCGTGGACTGTGGATTACCAGCGTGTCAGCAAATTCCGGATGTGGCTGTAGATACAGGAACCTGGCCACCGGGACTGAACCACATAGGCTTCATTTTCCTTTTTCTCATTAGATAAAACTGTTGACACACAATACTACGTTGGTTTCAGGTGTACAACAGTGATTCAATTTCTCTAAACCTTATGCTGTCCTCACCACACAATGCTATTACAGTAGTATTGACAATGTCCCCTACGCTGTACCTTTCATCCCCGTGACTTATTCTATTAAGGGCTTCATTTTTCTTATGGTAACAGCATGTCTGGAAATAGGCAGAGGGGGGCGGGTACAGCGGCTTGAGGAAGTTATCATGGAGCTAGGCTGCAGCCCCCGCCCTTGTCCTTGGCCTGGGACTTTGAGCCTCAGGCTGGCAAAATGGCATTTGTACGTCCAGGCAGCCTACTGGCTTTTCAATAGGGCAAGTTTTTCTCTTTAGGAGGTTTTGCCTTTTCATCAGGAATGGATCTCATCCCAGGCCAGCACTGTCAGGTGCCCAAACCTATCACCCTTAAGATGAATTTTAACTGGCACCTCACTTTGCCACTCTTACTACAATCTGGGTGTTTTTGGTGAAAAATAAGGGGTAAATGAATATTGGGCTAACCGCTGCAGTTTATCTGCTGGATTCCACATCATAATCACCTGGGTTTTTACCAATGAAGAACATCTGGCCACCTAGAGCTCAGTCTCTGGGAGGAGGCCCCTGGGGTCTGCATTTCAATACTCCTCACGTGATTACATTTTGAAACTTGAGATAGGCTGCCCTACAGTCTTGCTTAGGAGGCATGTTACCACGTATTTGAAAGAACTAGAGGACAGTACATTCCATGTATATGTTAGGATGCTTTTGGCCTAAACCCAACTCAAAAAGGCTTAAATCTTAAGGAAATTTATTATTTTATGTACTATATAAGTCAAGAGGTAGGACGGGTTCATGGTTGGTGGACTCTGAAGATGATGAAGGATCAGATTTTTTTCCTCTCCACTTTGCTGTTGACCTTTACAGCCTCATTCTGTGGTTCCCCACTCCCAGGTTGTCAGATGCTGCCTCCCAATTGCTGCCAGGAGGTAAGAGTTCTTCTAGAAACTCCAATGATCCTTTGTGTCTCATTCGCAAGAACTGAATCACTTGCCCGTTTCTGAGCCAGTTACTGCCAAGAAAGTGGTAATGACCTTATATCCAGTTAAGACACCCTTTAAGCTAAAATTAAAATTGTCAGTATTTCAATTTGCATTGCCCCAAGGCGTGGAGTTGGAGAGAGTAAACCACTACACCAGCCAGTTCGTTGCACCCCATCGGCATTTTGACTTGGCCATTTAGACACAGCCGTTCTGGCTCCTCCCCCCTCTGCTAAGCATCTCCACGGTGAAGATTCCTACACTCAGGGTGCAGGTTAGAGGTGAGATCAAACTTGCGGCAAGACCACACAGGCTCACCACTTTGAGAATCTTAGAAGCCTGTGTATTCCCGCCAAAGTCCCATGGACTGCCTCTCAGATTCCTTATGCTTCTCTCATAGTCACGATGGTCATATATTAATTCACTTCCAATTAATAAATCTTTGAATACATGATGCAATTTATTCTGTTCTCCCATGAAAATCGAGAGCAGCAACTCTCGATAGGGGAGCTCTACTCTCCATGCCCACTAGTGTATTAAAGATGTACTTAGGATCACTTCTACCCTGGAAATGCATATTTATTATGTGATTTTTTATATTTGGAGGAGAATACTTTCACAAAGTCTCATGGCTGCTTGGTGACAGAGCCAGAACTCGATTTGGGGGGTACATGGTCCCCTTTTCTTTGAGCTTTTTCACCATCTTTATATTGACATCATATATACGGAAAGAGTAGAGATGGCCAAATGAAAACACCAAGGTTTGGGTGCCTGAGGGAGTGAGGCGGGGGGCGATAGATTTACTGGGGGAAAAGTTGATGAATTTGATTTTGGGAATTTTCAAATTCAATGGGACATGTTCCATTGGTCAGTCAGTAAAGACCAACACTCAGGTCCGGATAATTACTGTTGGAGATTTAGACTTTCAACTGTCCCCATGAAAGAAAGTTGAAGCCGTAACTGTCCAAGAGACAAGGACTAGAGGAGTCAAACAGCCAGTGGACGAGAAAAGCGAGGAATCTAATAGCTGGGGAAGTGGCAGGGGACCAAGGATCCCAGGATTAGTTAGGACCAGGTATTAGTTCTTTAAGGGCAAAATATGCTGTGACTTAAGAGGGGAGAGCAGGACACCAGTCCTCTTGTCTTTCAGACCAGCATTCTTCAGGATATTGGGTAACTTGGAATTTTCACTCTATTCTCAACCTTCCTGGTGTCAAATTTTACATGTGGAGAATTCAAGGAAACTAAAGACTTAATGACTTGTCCAACACCTGACACCAGGCATCATGTTTTATATTATTACACTCAATAAAAATATAAAGGGCTCCATGCAAGAGACTCCAACAGGTATGGGACACTTCTTTCTAAACCCTGGCGTATTAGCACAGTCTAATAAAAGTCCGAGAGACCATGAGCTCAGAGTAGTTCGTATTCTTTCACAAAAAGCACAGATGTACTATTCTCCTCATATTCTTAAGCATAGTCATCCAATTAAAGTAGTATGTCAGGAGAGCTCTTTATAGCAGGATCCCCAAACTGAAGGATCCAGGGAAGTAACAGGAAGGAGCAAAGTGGGCCAAGAGTTGTGGTGAAATCACTTGTTTGTCAGCTGTTCCTGGGTCTTCATTATATGAAATCTTATGGATCGGCCTTTGGAGAAAAGTAGCAATGCCAATGCTAGCAAGCAAGCCTCTGCCCTGCAGCACAGTGTCTACACGAGTGCTTCAAAATGTGATGACAGAATTCTCTGATCCAGTTTTAGCAAAGGATTTATTTGCGGATCCCCAAAAAACCAAGAATCAGAAACAGCCCCACTCCCCTCACTGCAAGAAAAGTTCTATGATAAATCATTTTCCATCCTCTTCTCTCTTCCCGAGGCGTGCCCTTGCTTGCGTCCATCAGTGGAGAGCAGACTGAGAGATGGAAATACTTTGTATGAAAGGCACACGGCACCCGGTACACCTCCCCGCAGGCAAGTGGAGCCTTCTCCACAGCCTCCCTCTTTTGACAGAAATTTATTGAAACGTTTTCTTTATAGCAAAATATTTAAAGATCCTTCCCCCAGCTCATCCCACTTCAGTTATCTACCAAAAAAGTATAGAATTGAAAGGTTTTTTGCCCCTGCTATGATCCAAACACCGAACAGTGAAGAACATCTGGATACTCTCAGTTTTGGGGTTATATACTCACATATCACAGAGGAATCTGAACCTCAAGTTCTGGATTTGATTAGAACAGCTGAAAAACGGATAGTCATTCTATGATGGAGCAAAGCAGGCTTTTTCAACACGCTACCTCACTGATCCCAAAGCTCGTAGAGATCCAAGATTTGAGCCTCTCACATAGACCGTATTTCAGAGAGAGTCAGCGGAGGAGAGTGCTAAGGTATATGAACAGAGTTGAATGCTGGTGAAGGCACAGAGTAAAGGATCCCAAGAGATTTTTAGTGCCATTTTCATTTAATAAGCCAGTAGCAGAGCAACCTAAAGACCTTGGCTGCGATCACACCAGGATGTTTCTATGGAACAGCTGCAGAACAGGACTGGCAGCCGGCATTGTCCGGCTCACTGAGCTCGGCCAACAGCTCCAGCACCAGCTCCTCGGAGAGACTAGGGCTGGGGTGTGTAGCGGAGGTACTTCTTGCCCGATGGGAGCTCTTTGGTGAAGACTCCTTTAGGGAAGAGTTTTTTGGCTTCATCTTCAGGGATGGTTGGAAGAACCATCACGCTATCTCCATCCTATTGAAAGACATTGAGAATGGTGAAATCCAATCTTACAGGGAAGCCTAAAGGCAAGAGTTGACTTTAGACAAGTAGCTACAGGTGCTCATGAGAAGAACTCAGTATTGGTTACTCTCTCTCCTCTGAGGAATCTTATTTTCACAGGTTGATCTCTGACACTTTCGTGAGGGAACTATTTCCCTATCTTAACAAGAAGTAGTCTTATTTTAAACCCAGTGATGGCTTGGCACCACACTTTAAAATGTTAATTCTAAGTCCTTATTGCTGTCCCGTGTGAATGATTCCCGCCTTCTCTCTCATCCCTGGCTCCTCACCCCACTTCCCGCTCCTTCCCTTCCAGGCACGCTGGCTTGTCTTCTGTTTCTTGAACCCACCAAGCTCGCTTTCATTAGCTGTTCCTTCTGCCTGCAGTGTTCTTCTCTCATAAATACCCATGGCTTGGTCCATTGCTTTCTTTGTGTCCTTCCCAAAGCTCCCTTCAGAGGAAGGCCTTCCTTGACAGCCAATTATAAAACCAACCCTCCCACCCCTGCATTCCTATTCTCTCCACCTCTGCTTGATTATTCTGTCACATTCATTGTCACCTAACACAGTAAACTTGCTTACTGTTTGTCTCCGCCCACTGGAGTGTAAGCTCTAGGAGGGCAGGGACTTCTATTTACATTTTTATATTTATATTTATACTGTTTGCTGCTGTAACCCAGTGCCCACTGCCCAGGCTCAGTAGACACGTGTTCGGTGGATGATATAGAGAATTTAAATGATTCGCCTGCCAGGAAGAACAAAACAACACAACCTGGTATTCAGGTTAGCATATTTTAAAAAATGTGGCTACGTGAAGATACCCTTCTGATAGCCCTGTCCTACCTTTTGCAGGAATCGTAGTGATTAAAAGTTTATGAACAGGATTCCAAGAATTCTACATGAGTTTAAAAGACTGAATGAAGCTTAAGAGAAATGAAATGCTCCATGACATTAATACACCACAGAGTTTTATAGCCATGACTTAAGTGGCCAATCTAAGTCTAGCTATAAATATTCTACCATCATTTTGCTAGTTTTGGGAAGGGTTAAAGGTTTAAAAAAAATTCTTTTATTGAAAGGCATCATTCTGACCAATTAATTTGATCACATGATCTAAAATTTAGGAAGCAATATAGGGAGTTTGCATTTTATATAAAAGGTGTTAAAGACCTTGACAGTGGCCTCACAGCAAATCTGAAACTCAGCCATGAGAAGTCCAGCCAGTGTGCCTGTATACCAGAAAAAGAGCCCCATGTAACAAAGACCTTGAAGACAGCCATTGAGAGACCAGCCGCTTAGGTCTTGCAGGCAAGGTGAGTATCTTTACCTTCCAATCAACCGGGGTGGCGACCCTCTTTTCTGCCGTTAGCTGGAGAGAGGTAATTACTCTGAGAATCTCATCAAAGTTCCTGCCAGTGGTCGCTGGATAGAGGATAGACAGCTTCAGTTTCTTATCAGGACCAAAAACAAACACCTGCAAAGCACACAAATGCATAAATAGAAGAATTCTTGCAGTGTTTTTGCTATTAAAGCCTCTTTGAAAGCTCTTAAGTCATCAGAAATATTCAAGGGTGTTAAAAATAAAAATAAAGACACACAAAACACCCCCACCCTCCAACATCTAGAAGGATACATCAAACTGTTAACCTGGGTGGCTGGAGTTTAGATAATTTTCTTCTCCATGTTATTTTTCTTTTTTTTTTAAGATTTATTTTTTATTTTTAAGTGCTCTCTACACCCAATATGGGGCTTGAACTCACAACCCCAAGATCAAGAGTCACATGCTCTACTGACTGAGCCAGCCAGGCGCCCCTCCATGTTATTTTTCTAAACTTGGGAATTCTCTTGGCTCTGGCTGGCTCTGTACGAAAAACTGATATGCAAATTGAATCCGGAAAGGCCTCGGGAAGGTACTTTGTTAACTAGGGATGGTTACCTTAAAAAATATACTAATGGGAGTTGATACTGGTCCTCAAATAGTTGTATAGTTTTGCAGATGAGGGACTAAGTTTGTTCTGGAGTGGGTAAGGACAGAACAAATAGGAATTCCAAACCAAAGCCGCCTTATGGAAAAGGGTATGGCCCACCACTTTGAAGAGAGGGCTGTCAGGAGAGCTGAAGAAAAGATTCCTCATTTCTAGATTACATCTTAGGACAACTACTTATTTTATGTAGATTTCCAAAAGCTGTCAAATTCAGCAACTTAAAAATTTAGCTGAAAACTTTATTTGCATTAACAGTACAGACGGTCAGTGAGACTGCCATTAATACAGTTATTTTGTAATTGGAGATATTCCCCTATTTCCAGGGGTTGGTGCAAGCACTCAATTAGACATAGAGCCTGGCCGGTCATGAGAACTCGATAATGGATTTCTAGGACTCACCACACGCGCTGTCACAGGCATGCCCTTTTCGTCCTTCTCTGCCGGGTCCAGCATGCCTAACTGGATGGCAAGGTCCCGATTCTTATCATCAATGATAGGGAAAGGTAATGTTTCTGTGGGCTCCTGACCGTTATAAGCATTGATATCCTGAAATGCAGGTGAGAGAGGATAAAGAAATCTAAACCAAGCACATCTTCGGAATTCAATCACAGTTAACGGCTATTATCTTGCAAGACAGGGAACAGGACCACAGTCATCATCTTCTCTAAGCAATTTGAGTATGAAAATGAATCAATGAACGCTCCTCATCCCAATCAGTCACTGACAGAAAGAACAGTGTGGTACAGTACTTAGGTTACTTAGGTTATAACCATAGACCCTTTTCATGCCCAGTTCTCTTAAAGATTGGCATGCTTTTACTGCTTGAAGCAGCAAGAAAGCAGCAAACTCAAATACTGTAGAGGTAGATCCCAATCCAATGTACCTCAGGATATGCAACAAGTAAACACCGTTAGAAATAATGGGTTCATTAAGTCCATCACATCTAGAAATAATGCCACATGCAGAGATAATTCTATAGATCTGGTCCCTGCCCGCTAAGTACCCTGACCCAGACACGATGCTACTGGAAGGCAGATTATCAAGAAATGGAAAAAAAAAAAAATCACAAAACTTAAAGCAAACCCAAGAATAGAGAGTTGATTATATACTTTAAGAATAAGTAAAACGTAAATTTTTTATGGGTGAAAAGACAGAGGTAAATTTACACTAGGGTGAAATCCACATAGAAAACAAAGCATTTCAGGTCTGAACTGAAAGACAATGATGTACTCTCCCCCCTACTGTTTTCTTCCCCTAGTTAACTGCACTCATTCGCTTCTATTTTTCCTATCCCTAGAAGTCTTTGGGGGAAAAAAATCTAGCTTCATTATTTGATGAAGCATCGGTGCAGCACTTAAAGTGGGGTCAGCAGGGTGGATGAGTAAGGTTCCTGCCTTCAGAGGAACGTCTCCTTTGGTTCAGATGATTCCCCTAAGAAGTAGCAGCAAATGCAAGATGATAACATGTAAGTGGCAGACTGAATGCTGAGGTATACTAGTCCCCATTGATAGGTCTGCTGAGTTAGCTGAGACTTCAGGAAAGACTTCGACTGGGGCTTTGGAGGATGGATCAGATTTTCACAGGTAAGGGGAGCACTATTAATGAAACAGGAAGGCAAGTCTGAGCATAAAGAATTGAGAAGAGAGTGAGTCACTTCGCTGGGCAGAGTTTTAGGAAGTAGCGGAAAGAGGATTTAAAGTTGGAATGAGGTCTATTTATTATATGGAGCCTTGAAAGTAAATCGGGTGGATGTCACGGCAGTATAGAATCTTTAATTTCTCCACAGAGATGTGATAGGGTAAGAGCAGCATCGACGAACTCTGAAATGGGTAACAGCACGTTTTGAACATGTTCCTTCATTTTATTATCTTAACTTCTCTTCTCTAGTCACTGGCTCCCTTCAAGTCACCACACCTAAAAAATGATCCATATGGCTTCATGCGAGAGGCACCCCGAGGTTTCCTATTTAACCAGCTGAACGTCAAATTCTGGCCGCTGCTTCGGATAATTAGGAAGGGTCTTCTATTGAATGCAATCCCCACCGTGAAAATTCTAAGGCAGAAGCTCACCAGCTGAAATGAAGCTGGGCACACTCACACTGCTATACTTTCAGGGGTGTTATACAATAGGTGATAAGCTCTTCCTTCAGTGACTCCTAGTTTTAACCATTGCTATACTGTAATAATTGTCAAAACTGCCACTTGCCCAATGGGTATTCCGTGACACCCACGAACACCAAAGAACCACATGCTTTGGCTTTATTCTATCCTAAATCAGGCTAATGCCTGCCCTCTAGCAACTAATACCACAAACAGCATCAGTGTGAGGTTTCAACTGCACTGCCATCATTTTCCAGCAGGACCATCCTGAGCAAGTCCCTCCACCTCTGGGGAAGGAAAAGGTATTCCCAGGGGCAAACACAAGGGCATGAACTACACACCTCCCTCAAAGGTTCCCGGACACAAATGAGAAATGACCTGTGAGACCGCTGTAGGAATGCAGCCGCTATTCACAGCCAGAAGTAAGGAATGAGAAAAAATTCCACCCCAAGAAAGAGCAATGCCCTTCTCTTTTCTCCTGATACAGTTCTTCTAATCTGACACTGAGAATCAACGAGCATGAGATGGCCAGCGGATGCAGCCCCAGGTGGCCAACTCACAAGTCAGGACCACATCTTTTATTGAGCTGTACACGACATATCGCGTGGCACACGGTAAGCGTCCCTCCAAGCTTACCTATCAGTATTATTTAGTGGCACACTGTAGCCAAGTCATCAAAATGTTCTTAAGTGAAGCCTAGACTACCACATTCATTGTCCAAGTAAATCCTTTTGTTGCAAGTAGGCAATTCCTTCAGTTCATGCATTCCACATGTACAGACTGACTGCCTAGGACATACTGGGTGCCAAGCATTGACGTACTGGGTGCCAAGCATTGCTCAGCAGTGCACAGAATGGGAGTTGGCCCCACCGAGTCTCTACTCCACTGGGTGTGGACAAATGAACAAAGGAAACTAGCGATTTGCAGAGCATTTTCTTTTAGATGGTGACAAGGGCTAAGGAGAAAATTAACCAGAGGGGGCTAGGGAGTGTGGAGGGGAGTTATAATCTTAGATAAGGAGGCCATGGGAAGGCTTTAATGAGGTGTCATTTGAGTCAAGACCAGAAAGAGGGGAGGGCAAGCCACAAAGATACCTGGGTAAAGATTCTTCCAAATAGGATTCTGGATAATTTTAAGGTGGAGTAGATGAGTTTACTGATGAAATCAGACATGGATACAGAAAAACCAGAGGCATTAAGGGTGACGCCTGGCTCTTTGGCCCGAGCAACTATGAAAATGCAGTGTCCATTAGCTAAGATGAGTAAGACCTTGGATTAAGAAAAGGAAGCCCGTGTTTGATATACTAGGTGTGAGATGATGGGACATCCCAGGGGAGAGGCTGAGTTGGCACTGGTTGTACTGGTCTGGAAGCCAGCAGAGTCTGGCCTAGAGATGGAAATTTGAGAATCACAGCATTCAGATGTGAGTGGATGAGTTCACCAAGGGGAAGGGTGTAGGTAAAAAGAGAAGGCATCCAAGAAATGCGTCCAGGGCAACTTCAGCAGAAATTAGGAGATGATGGAACTCAGTCTGAGCATAAATAGGAATAGCTAGAGATGTGGTATCTGGAAGCCAAGAGAGAAAAATGTTTCAGAATCTACAGTGATCAGTGGGTTGAAGGCTGCTTGTATGCCAAGAAAGATTAGGGCTGAGAACCGAGCATTTAGCAAGGTGGAGGTCACAGTGCGGTCTAAGTCAGATTTTCACATAATCATTGAAGTTTGAATCTGAGGTTACTTGTACCTTTACCTCAAAAAACCAAGCTACTCTAAAAATTAATAACTCAGGAAACAACAGATGTTGGCGAGGATGCGGAGAAAGGGGGACCCTCTTACACTGCTGGTGGGAATGCAAGCTAGTGCAGCAACTCCGGAAAACAGTGTGGAGGTTCCTCCAAAAGTTAAAAATGGAGCTACCCTATGACCCAGCAATTGCATTACTGGGTATTTACCCAACGAATGCAAACAGTGATTTGAAGGGGCACATGCACCCCAGTGTTTATATTTATAGCAGCAATGTCCACAATAGCCAAAATACGGAAAGAGCCCAGATGTCCATCAACAGATGAATGGATAAAGAAGATGTGGTATACACACACAAACACACACACACACACAATGGAATATTACTGAGCCATCAGAAAGAATGAAATCTTGCCATTTGCAACGACATGGATGGAACTAGAGGGTATTATGCTGAGCGAAGTCAGTCAGTCAGAGAAAGACAAGTACCATATAATTCCACTCATATGTGGAATTTAAGAAACAAAACAGATGAACATAGGGGAAGGGAAGGAAAAATAAAGACAAAAAACAGAGAGGGAGGCAAACCATAAGAGACTCTTAACTATAGGAAGCAAACTGAGGGTGGCTGGAGGGGGAGGTGGGTGGGGGATGGGGTAACTGGGTGATGGGCGTTAAGGAGGGCACTTGATGTAATGAGCACTGGGTGTTACATGCAACTGATGAATCACTAAATTGTACCCCCAAAACTAATAATACACTGTATGTTAACTAAATTGAATTTAAATAAAAAATAAAACAAAACAAAACAAAACCCAAACCAAGCTACTCTATATAATTTAGAAGTTGATCTATAATTTCAAAGCATATGCCAACTGGTACTGTACCTTGCTCCAGGCAAGATGGTCTTCAACACTGTCCACCGAAAGGGCAATCATCTTAACATTCTTCTTGGCAAATTCTGGTGCCAGCTTTGCAGCTCTGCCAAGCTCCGTGGTGCACACGGGGGTAAAATCCCGAGGGTGGGAGAAGAGAATGCCCCATCTGAAAGAAAGGAAGAGGAAGTCACAACTTACTGGAGAGGTTATCACCATCAATGTAGAATGAGAAATCACAAATCCTAGGTCAAAAATGACTTTATTTATTTTTTATTTATTTTATTTTATTTTTTAAAAAGATTTTTATTTATTTATTTATTTGTCAGACAGAGAGAGAGCAAGCACAAGCAGGGGGAGCAGCTGAGGGAGAGGGAGAAGCAGGCTTCCCACAGAGCAAGGAGCCCGATGCGGAGCTCGATCCCAGGACCCTGGGATCATGGCCTGAGCCAAAGGCAGACGCTTAAGGACTGAACCACCCAGGCTTCCCCACTTTCTTTTTTAAATGAATGCTTATGAGGACAATTACTTCTAGATTTTTGTCGAGGAATGCTTTCTGATCTTCTTACTTCCAGAAAAGCCCATGTTTAACGCCCAATTCCACATGATAAATGTCTTAAAAGACTCTAATTTAAGGGTGTTGCCTCCTTTAATAACTATAGGGCCACCCTGACTCTTTTCAGCTCATAAAATCTGTGCTATTTAAACCAACAAGCTTATTGAAATAACTTTCCCCCCCTGCTTACTCACTTCTATTTTTTTTTTCTAGGCACAGAGACCCTGACATTCAGCTTCAACAATGGATGTCCCAATGTGCCCCAATCCAAACAAATGCCTGATTGCAATAATAAGCAGGTTATGTAATCTGAAATAAATAGGCTTCTATCCCCTATTTATATGTAAAATTAAAGTTGACACTTGGCTTCTTTGTAGTGAATGGATATAAAAACTTTTGTAAGTAGGCTTTCCTGACCTAGCCTGCCAAACAGGACACCCAGTCTTTGCACCCTGACAAAATAGCTGTTTTACCTGTCTCTTCGTTTGCAGTTTCTTTTTCTTCCTGCTTTAGACCAAGTGGGCAGAAAACTGAGAGCCTACAACAGATTTTTACAACTACAGATTCTTAGGTAAATCCTAGTATCTAAATCATCATTGCCTAAGGTAAAACTTTGTATAGATTTTAAGCACATTTCAAGTCACCAACAACTTTTGGACTACCACTTCCTTCTCTTTGGCAACAGAAGCTACTCTTCTGACTGAAAAGGAAAATTTAACACTCCGTTTTCCACGACCCTTGTTGATGTATGTTAAACCAGAATCCTAAACTATCTTTAAGAAAAAAAAGTGCGCCCGGGTGGCTCAGTCGGTTAAACTCAGGTCATGATCCTGGGGTCCTGGGATCGAGTCCCGCATTGGGCTCCTTGCTCAGTGGGAAGCCTGCTTCTCTCTCTCCCTCTGCTGCTCCCCCTGCTTGTGCTTACACTCTGTCAAATAAATAAATAAAATCTTAAAAAAAACCAAACAAACCAGGATCCTAAACTAGTAGATTACTAAACCTAGCCTAGATGCCAAGCTGACCTCTCAAAGTTTGCCAAGTTTCCTGAAGCACAAAGAACAAAAGCAGACACAAGGGTACCTCCTTCCCACCTACATCTGCCACTTGGACTCCCAGGGCTTCAGGAAAGGAAAAGCCTTCCCACAAAAAGGATAGAAGGCCCTATGGCAAGACTGGGAAGAGAGAGGAAATATTTTAGTCTTATCTCGGAAGCTAAGCTAAGCAGGGTCGGGCCTGGTTGGTACTTGGATGGGAGAGAGGTAATATTTTTAAGATTCTGGAGGATTGTGGTAGGTTTACTTTTTTATGAAGGGCAGTAAGAGGGACATACATCTTTTGAAAGAAATACTCTAGGCATGGGTAAAATCTAGGCCTTAGATTCTATGGAAAAGGATCGGCTTAAGGGTCAGATGAGACTTAAGAGAGTCTCCAGGAGTTGAGAAAAAAATAAACAGGACGTTTCTTCCTGTGTTGTTACAGGGTTGATGAATTACAAGTGTGAGACATACTCTTTCCATTGTGTGTCGAGAAGGTTTTGCTGAATCATGCTAAGGAACTGAGTTTAAGCCACTTCACATCCTGCACCCCTCAGAAGCCAAACTCCAGTTTGCCATGTGGCTAGAACAGGGTAACTCTGAGAATGTCTTACTTCGGTCTCCCTTCCCCTCTAAGTCTCCCTACTGTGCTCTTAAGAGTAGTTCAATTACATTATCCCATTTCCTTCCTTATTTTCAAAAGACAAAAGGTTTCCTCCTTTAAGGGAAAGGTCCCCCCTCAACCCCAGAAAACCCCAGGAAAACACATTTTGTTTGGTGAAAATGTACTGTAAAGTAGCTGCTTCTACCACATACATACAAAAATAGTGATAAAGCTCATTAAACTCACCAAATGCAGCACCCAAACCCCTTAGTTGTTTCCAATAGTCAGAAGTAGGGCAGATACCTATATTGTTTGAAATTATTATTTTTCCCCCAAAAAAACACCTGGATCAAAAAGTGGCATCTGAATTAAGATCACACACAGAATGGAGTTGGGAAAAATTGTATTAAGCAAAATCCATATGTTATAATTATATAAAGAGCTCAAACTTCTTTTTGGGGTAGGGGAGGGAACACTACCCCATGCCTTATCTGAGGCTGACTTGTTATACTACTTGTTTATAAATGCAGGTATTTTTCTCATCTTCCTACTGGTGGCTCCCTGAGAAGGTACTACTTTTAATGAAATCAAGACAGATCCAGGGGCCAATAAGCAACAACAACAAGAAACCCAAAAATGTAGGGTTAGGGTTAGCTTAAATAGTGACAGCATTTATAATTATTGCTATAGTATGTTAATATTTATCTTTAATCTATACAATCTAAGAGTTCTGGTAAGATTTCGTTGTATGGGCTATAGATGGGAATGGAAAGGAACATACCCTGAAAATCCCATGGACTTTTGGAGAACTACTAATACCTAGATTATGAGATTGGATACAATCTGTATGTCTGAGGTTTTTTCCTACCTTTAATGTCTGAATGTTCCATTTCTCATCTTTTTTTCTAGCCTAGTTCTCTCTTTCACAAAGCTTAGCTCTTCCCTTAATCAGTGGCTGGACAATGGATTTAAGGGATTATAAGGGGATGTGTAGGCCTAAAACGCAGGTTCTCTGCATAGCCCCATCCAGTTATTGATTAATGTCATAAAATTCCCTCTCTCTGTCTACACACACATATACCTGGGTGCCGTAAATAAAAAGGATACAAACCATGGAGGAACTGTTAAGCCTTACAACATCGCAGTGTGAAATGAACACACAAACAAAAAGCCAGGAACGGAGTCATAAATACAAAGAACCAGTGGTTGCCAGAGGGGGTGGGAGGATGGGTGAAATAGATGAAGGGGATTAAGAGGTACAAACCTGCAGTTACAGAATATATAAGTCATGGATATGAAAAGTACAGCATGGGGAATACAGTCAATAATATTGTAATGTATGGTGACACACGGTGACAACACTCACTGTGATGAGCACTGAGTAATGTACAGAATTCTCTAATTACTCTGCTGTACACCTGAAACTAATAAACACCGTATGCCAATTATCCTTCAAGAAATTTAAAAAAAAAGGAAAACCAGTGTGGTGGGGCTGCTGGAACTCCAGAATATAATGACACATCTCTGGGATGTTTCAGATTAAAACTAAGCAACTTGAAAGCTTGCTGATTCAGGAGTTGTAGAATGTAAAACCAGGGCAACACCGACCTACTCCCAGTCATTAACCGTCTGACTGCCAGGCCAGATTTGGCTATGACCAGCAAGGCCACGTGCGGGAAGCAAGGCAGCAGGGGCAGGAAGGGGCGAGGGGCACACCACTGGGAAACAAAAGGGTCTCCAAAGCGGGGAGGGACAAGCGTCCTGGCGCCCGCAAGAGCCTGCCTATTGCGGCGCCAAGAACCGGCCACTGCCGCGGAGTAACCTCAGAAAGCCCTCCCCTCACAGTGTTTCAAGTTCTGGAACGAAGGACACACCTACATACAGAGTGTTCTTGGTTCCTCCCAGCGCTGTTATCAAATCATACCCCAGCCACTGCAGGAGGCTCTGGACAACAAGTCTTTCAGCCAGTTATTTGGCAGCTGGTGGTTTTAAATTTTACGTTTTGTGTCGAGAAGCCTGAAATGCCAGTGCAGCAAGCAGGACTTCAGATAACGCGCTGGGCCATCCCGAGCCTTCAGCCAGCAGCAGGGTCTTCAGACTCTGGCCTGAAACCCCCGCCTTCCCCAGGGAGCAAATTCCAGAACGGAGGGAGGGAGGTCACCCTGGGAGGTGACCGCTGATGCCAACCGGCCCTTGCCCCCTCGGGGCATCGGCCTGACCGCGCTACTTGGCACCGCTCAGCAAACCGAGTGAGATAAGCAACCAACGCTCTGCATCCGCCTCCGGTTCCCGGACCTGCGGGAACCCAATTTCGCTCCCCTCCCCCTTTCCCGCCGTGGAGCTAGCTCAGCCACGCGGGGGCCGCAGGCGGGAGGGGGGGGTCCAGTGGCCGGCCCCCAGCAGCGCTCGGCCGACGCGGGGCAGGGGCCACTCGGCCAGAGGCACGTGCAGGAACCGGTGCGGGGAGGAGGCGGGCGGCGAGCAGGAGGCTGAACGGGAAGGAGGACGGAAGGGAGAATAAATAGGGAAGGCACCTCCGAGGCCGGGCGTAACCCGAGGCCAGGGCAGGGCTACGAGGTGGCCACTTACGAGTCTCCTAGATAGTCGTGGAAACGGATGCGGCCGACGGTAGTATTGGCCTCGAAGTTGGGAGCCTCGTCCCCGAGAAGGAGACCTCCGGGCATGGCGGCAGCGGTGACGCGGGAAGACAAGGACGCGCAGCAACGACAGCCACCAGCTTGCCGGCTCTGGCGGTGTAGGGGCCCGCCGCAGAGTAAGTGCGGCCGCGAGGGGCGGGACGCGGGCGGAGTGGGCGGGGTCAGAGGCGTAGTCTAGGTGGGCGGGGCCGTGGCGGGGCGAGGGGCGGGACTGGACCTGGCAGAGGGCCGGGTGTACCGAGCCAAAGTCGGCGCGGGTGCGAGGGAGGGTCCGGACCTCCCGAGCGAGGGGCGGGGCAAGGGTGGGTGAGCTCTAGGCACTGGTCTGATGCCTCTGAACCTGCCCGGAGCCTGAGGGCACCCGCCCGCGTCTCTACTCACGTGACGTTGGACTCAGTGACCTCGCTCCCTGGAGGCTTGGAGGTGAGCTAGATTTGATCCTGCAGTGCGTCCGGGCTTTGAAGGCGCAAGGAAGCGGAACGCAGTAGAAGGGCAGCCCCGAGGCGGAGAATCGGGGTTCGGGATGACGAATCCGCGGAAGTCCTCCTGTACGCTCACGCTCGGTCTCCTGACCCCTCCACTTAGCCCTCTTTAAGTGTGAGCTTCTGGAATCCTGACCACCCCAGCCAGCCTAGCCGTCATGAACTCTGTATCAGAGGATGTAGCAAGACCCAGAAATGTAGGGGACCTTATGTCAGAGGAAGTGGCTTTCATATTGCAGCAAAAATTCCAGCACCTATGTCATCAGTCACCGCCTGGGGGAATGTGACTAAACTTTTATTTCACTTCCCTCTCCCAGATAGCGAACCATAAAATAGTCAACGCAATTATCCTGAAATCTAGATATCCAGTTTTTAAAGATATATTTATTTATTGGGGGGGCAGGGGCAGAGGGAGAGGGAATCTGAAGCCGACTCCCCGCTGAGCATGAATCCCAGGAGGGGGCTCTATCCCACAACCCATGAGATCATGACCTCAGCGGAAACCGGGAGTTAGTTGCTCACCGGGCTGAACCACCCAGGTACCCCTGCAATCTGCATATACATTTTAAAGCATACTTATTGCGATCTGCTGTGTGCGAGTCACCTCTGCCACCCAAGGAAGTGGGAAGTTTAGATTCATTTATTTGCTCTCTATGTGCCGAGCATGAGGTAGACAAAATGGGCTCTTGGAGCTTTCTTTCTAGTAGGGGAGACAAAATAAACAAGAATATACTAGATAGCAGTAAATCCTATTGAGAGAAATTAAATAAGGTTCTGTGCTAGAGGGTGGCTGGGGAGCTGCTTTGGACTGCATAGTCTGATCTGGGAAAGCCTCTAGGATAATGTAGGTAAAGTACTTAGCACATAGTAAGTGCTCTGGAAATGGTAGCTATTATTTGGATGATGATAATGGCTTATGCAGTCCGTCTTGCTTTGCCAACTGTGTGGGAGGCACTGTTCCAGGCCTGGTGGTACAGTGAAGAGCTACAGTCCCTGCTCTTACAGGGAAGGCAGATGTACAACCAGTTATGATAAAAATATAGAGTAAATGCTGATGGGGGAGGGTACTAAATGGTTGGCGTTCAGAAGTGGGAAAATTCACAGCATGGAGCTCCTTAGGCTTAAGGAAGGCACATAGCAATGTTAAGAGAAGTGACTCACATACTGTGATTTCAGTTTTCATCATAGTGCTGCTGTGGGTTGGGGGGTGGTGTGAGTGCTTGCTAACCGTATTTACTCAGTTTTCCCCTGAACAGGGATTTACAGTAAGATTACTGGTAAAATTTCTAGCAACTCTAGAGAACGCTATAGAGCTACTGTAATTTCATATCTAAACTAATTTGACTCCAAACTTTGGTTTTAAAAGTGCTATGTCTTAACTCCTTTTGCAGGGGAGGGAGAAAGAGAGGAGGGAAAGGAGGGTAATTTAACTTTAATACACTATTATTAATGCCATGAAGATAGGGTAGACAACCCAGATTTACCACAACTATGGAGAATACAGAAATAGACTATTGATCTCTAGAAAAAGCATAATTGGGGCGCCTGGGTGGCTCAGTCGTTAAGCGTCTGCCTTCGGCTCGGGTCATGACCCCGGGGTCCTGGGATCGAGCCCCGCATCGGGCTCCCTGCTCAGCGGGAAGCCTGCTGCTCCCTCTTCCACCCCCCGCTTGTGTTCCCTCTCTCGCTGTGTCTCTCTCTGTCAAATAAATAAATAAAATCTTTAAAAAAAAAAGCATAATTGTGGAACTGTCTGTTGTAAATTAAGCAAATATAATAAAATAAGATAAATACCTGTTAGGATTTGCAGTGCCAGAGACTGCACACTGGAAGGCTTCTTGCACCCTGCATGCTTCTTTGCTTTAGCCTCTGCAGCATTTTAAATTCTTTTGAATTAGCTGACAACGTTCGAAAAACAGGATTTTTTACAAAAATATCTGGATTTCTGTCTCCTGGAAAGTCAGATCTAGCCACACTGGGCCCACGTTGCATGTGGGTGTACAGTGGCTGGAGAGTAGCCTTCTACGAGTGCATATGTTCCCTGTTACTCAGAAGGTCTCTCACCACATACTGACATTAGTGTCTATTGTCGGTTTAATGCCCCTCTTGCACTGTTACAGTTTTTAGAATAGAATTAGGAGGAAAATGACTCCTATCCTAATGTATCCCTATCTCTGTCAAAATTGTGAAAATGAAAGGTTGACCAAGGGCCATATGCTCCAAGGAGGAAAACGATAAGAGTGTATTTCTTTGTCAAAGGAAAGAAGAGTCCCATATACTTAATGTGCAAAATTGAAAGAATACTGTCTGTCCTGCGTGGCCTGTGTAGGGAGTTAGTTTAACCTCTACTACACTAAAGGTAGGTGCTCCATGGACTGAGTCCCTCCCGGAGGGCAGCAGTTAGAGCTCTTTTCCCAAGGGCTAGCAGGAAGCCCCATGGGAAGGAGGAAGGGAGGAGGGCCAAGGAAGGCGTTCCAGGGAGAGACCAGAATGTGAAAAAGGGAGAACTGGCTAAGGGAGGGATTAACTCTGCAGACAGGGGAGAGGCTGTGGTATCAGGGGAGGAAGATGTTTTCCAGCAGCTGGCAGGGTTGGGGAGAGTCTTGAAGTTCTGAGAAATAACCCCTGGATGGCAGGAAGGAAGGGATTGCTGGGATTTTCAGAGGGCTATGACTCCTGTCTGACTGGTAGGCCCTTCTTCCTTTACCACTTTGGACAGACTGAAGGAAAAGGTGGAAGGATTGGCAATGGCCATTTGGAAGAGCAACGGTGCCTTACTGTCTCCCTCTCATTGTCTCAACTAGGTTGTGAACTCCTAAAGGCTTGACCGTATTTTACTGATAAATATTTGTGACCCACTAGACATGCTGGGCATGGGGCTAGATTACATGACTCGCTGGATAAGCAGTTAGCTACCTCCCACCACCACAACAAGGAAGTTTGTCAGCCTCCAGCTGGGAATAAAAGAGCTGCATATCCCTAGTGGTAACTGTAGCTAGGGAAAAATCCTTATGCACTGGGGTTGGGGGGAGATACATAAAACTTGAAATTAATGTTAGGGAGGTGGAATTAGGTTTTTAAAAGCAATTCTTATAAGCTTTCTCGTTAAGTCTGATTGTCTTTTCAGAAATAAAAATAGAAAGAAGGCTGGTGCACAGGAAACTGTGTGCAGATCAGGACAGTGCTGCCCACCTGCTGTGTGAGCGGGGTTGCTAATCTCTCCACTGCCCTTCTCTATCTTGGGTAATGCGGTCACTCCTCCCTGTAGTATCTACTACAGGACATCCGCAATCTGGAAAGAAACCAGTGTGGGAGTGAAAATGAAAAGACAACAGCTGTTAAAAAGCTGGAATGATGAATAATAACTCAGCAGGGCTCTGGAGTCATAAATTCTGACCCTTATTTTCCCAAATAAAGCACCCTGAAAGTTTACTTTTTACCCTGAAAGAGACTGCTTACGAAGTTTCACAAATAATAATTTTTTGGGGGTGGGGGAAAAATTTGTTCACAAGTGGTTAAAGGATTAGATTTAGAGACATCCTATAATAATTGGGTAACTAAAGACCCCAAGCCAACTTAGAATTGTTTGAAGGGTGGTGAGGTAAGTTAACCAGTTCTCTTAACTGCTTTTAGTTAAGCATAAGAGGCCCTATGTGCTAGGGGGAAGCATTTATTACGGTTACAGGGTGGGCAGTGAATATAAATTTGTGAAGCTCCATATCTGTATATAACAGAAACTGTCATAGAGAGAAAGAGGGGAAAGGAGAAGAGGGAGAGAAAAGAGAGAAAGCAGAGAGCAGAGAGGTCACAAGAGCGGGCAGGCAGAAGAAAGAAGGAAAACAGGGAGAAAGGGGAGTTTGGAGAGGGACCCATTTGAATGCCTGCCTGCCTTTCCTGGGCTCCCGCCAAAGGAAAGCTGACCACATGGCCCCGCCACTCTGGGCCTCGGTGATTGCTCAGGGCTGGGTGTTGGCCCAAAGGCAGTCGGCCTCCAAACTGGCTAACAGCCCCTGAGGGAGCCTGGCACGAAGTGTTTTATTATGGGACACTCTCTTGGTGACGGGAATGCAAGACAGCAGAGTGGGTCAGCAGTTCGCAGCAGGGGTGGAAGACGAAAGATGGTCGGGCGAGGTAGGGAGCAGAAGCCGTGAGCCGGCTGTGAGAAGAGTGGAGAGTAGCAGGAACTCGAAGCAGAGCAGGAGGTGAAGGGAGCAAGGTAAGCACCGAGTCACTAAAACTACCCTGGGGACTAGTGGCCAGCTAGCTTCCGAACTCAAACTCTTTGAGGCCTACTGCCAGGAGGGAGCTAAAGGTCAGTGGTGGGAAAAGCCCTCCCCAGGAGTAGGGACTCAAGTTCTGCATTTCCTGAGAATTTAAAGACAAAGACAAAAACAACAACAACAACAACAACAACAACAATAATGATGATATCAGTCTGCATGTTGTCAACAAAATCTGGCACTTCTAAGCTATGTTAATAATAAAATACTCCTCCCAGAAAAATCTTGATGTTGGTCTAACTTGTCAAGATTGCTACAGTTCTTGTGGTGTTTTTAATAATGTATACATAAGCTCCAGCTTAGCACATTTTAATTACTTCTCCTCTAGGAAAAAAAAGTATTCTGCATACAGGTTAACTTGGA